CAGTGATACTAATTGGTAGTCTGGATATTGATTGTTTTTCTATTTATGTAGATTGGCCAGGGAACTTATAGCAATGTTTATCGTGCTCGAGATCTTGATCAAGGCAAGATTGTGGCTTTGAAGAAGGTAAGGTTTGACAATCTGGAGCCTGAGAGTGTTCGTTTCATGGCTAGGGAAATTCACATTCTTCGCAGGCTTGATCATCCTAATATAATCAAGTTGGAAGGTCTAGTTACATCCCGGATGTCTTGCAGCTTGTACCTTGTTTTTGAGTACATGGAGCATGACCTAGCGGGTCTTGCATCACACCCAGGTCTAAAATTCACTGAACCACAGGTATTGACATTGAGCTTCAAATTGTGACTCAAAATCTTCTCTTATATTGTAGCATTGCTATTTTATTTTTCCCCTATTTTGATAAATAATTGTTACTCTTATTCAGATCTTCCGATATAGTAACGGCATCTTTTTACATCTGAATGAGACATATCTGTGCTATATGAGCACTAGACAAGGGAATGACATAAGGGTCATCATAATTCCCGAGTAAAACTGCACATTATTCTATTTGCTCCACTTGGATGCTTGGGATAATATAGTGTCTGGTTTATATATTTTTAGGTTAAGTGTTACATGCAGCAGCTTCTACGTGGGCTCGATCACTGTCACAGGCATGGTGTTCTGCATCGAGATATAAAGGGTTCCAATCTTTTAATTGACAATAATGGCATACTGAAAATAGCTGACTTTGGTCTGGCAAGTTTCTTTGATCCTCATCAGAGCCAGCCCTTGACAAGCCGTGTTGTGACTCTCTGGTACCGGCCACCTGAACTTCTACTTGGGGCTACTTATTATGGCTCTGCTGTGGATTTGTGGAGTACCGGTTGTATTCTTGCTGAACTTTATGCTGGCAAGCCTATCATGCCCGGACGAACAGAGGTATGTTAATTTGTTATTCTGCTTATGCCTAATATATAGGACCAATATCCAGATATGAAACAAGCCCCTTTGGAAATAGGGTATAGAGTTCTCTTTTGTGAGCATTGGTTCTCTCTCCCTCACTGCAAAACAAGAAAAAAAGAAAGGTGGAATGTTTATATTCTCATATAAAAGAAGCTTTATGAGAAAACCAAATGACAAGTTGCTCTCTTGAACCAATCTGTTAGTGAAATTGACAATAGTTAGTCATGAAATTTTGTATTTTTAACCTTTTAACTTGTGTTTTCGTCTTATGGTTTTTGCCTTGGCCCCTCCTGGGCATATTTGAACAGATATTTGCTTAAATCCTTGTAGGTTGAGCAGTTACACAAAATCTTCAAGCTTTGCGGTTCACCCTCTGAGGAGTACTGGAGAAAGTCGAGGTTACCTCATGCAACTATTTTTAAGCCCCAGCAACCTTATAAACGTTGTGTTGCAGATACATTTAAAGACTTTCCTGCACCAGCATTAGCTTTAATGGAGGTTCTACTATCTATAGATCCTGCTGATCGTGGATCTGCATCTTCTGCTCTCCAGAGTGAGGTATGAAGCTTTTTACAAACTATTGATGCAAGGTTGCCCTCTCTTTCCAGCAAAGACTGAAAGAGAAGAGAGCATGGAAGATCAATGAAGGACCTCGGGAAAACCAGAAACTTCTAATTAACAACTTAAAGGAGGTTAATAGGAGATTATAGGAATTAACTGTAAATGTTATGGAGCTTTGTAGAATTCCTCGCCAGCGCTCAATGTAGAATAATAATACCATTGAGTAACAGCAAGACCTGCAACATGGCGTTATTTGCATATTATAGTTTGAAAGTGTGTTGATTATTTGCATATGATCTCCATCTCTGCTCATGTTTTTGCAAGTTTTGGTTAAAAAAAACAGCACATCTACGTATTTTCTCCAAAAAAAAAAAAGGCCCACTGAAGGCTTGGCTATCTACTATTCCAATAAATTCTATTTCTCGTTTCTCAATCCTATCCATTGGATGAAATTTAGTATCAGAACTTACTGTTATGAACCATGTTATGCATTTTTATATGTAATTCACTGAATGCGTCCAATGGAATCCATGATATTACTTCATTATACTGTGTACCCATTCCATCAGTCATAGTTATGATAGATTTCATGGACTTGCATCAACAATTCCATCACCAATTCATTAGCTTATAATGACTTGTCAAAGAAATTTCCAAATCTTTAATTGTTGAAATTTTTGCTTAACCTGTCTAATTTGGTTTTGCAGTTCTTCATAACAAAACCACTTCCTTGTGATCCTTCGAGCTTGCCAAAGTATCCTCCCAGTAAAGAGTTTGATGCGAAAGTTCGGGATGAAGAAGCTAGAAGGTAAATTGAACGATTAAGATCAATTAATATTGTATTTTTATGTTATTAATATCAATGCTGAATTTTGAGTTTTTATTAGCACAAAGTGCCATGCTGTCTTGTTTATGCTTTAACAAATTTCTAAATGGTGAAAGTGGTGACTCAGTAGCTAACTTTGTTTTATGTTGTATACAGACATGCGGCAGCAGGAAGCAAGGGTCACAGGTATGATCAAGAACGGAAAGGGACAAGAGAATCTCGTGCTGTTCCAGCACCTGATGCCAATGCTGAATTAGTCCTTTCAATGCAGGTAACAACTGTTGTAATGTTTTTAAAGGAGGACCTCCTGCATTTTCTGTAAGGGCAAGCCCAAAATTTATGTGGTGAATTTCTGAACCCAGAAAAGACAAGGTCAGTCCAATTCCAAGAGCAGAAGCGAGATGTTCAACTCTCATCAGGAAGAAGTTGCTTCTGGTTTTCCTATTGACCCACCTAGACCATCCCAGGCTGTTGATGAAGCAAGCAATGATCCCCAGGGCAATCTCCATAAGAGGGGTTCCCATTCTGGCCCACTGGTACACCGGGCTGCCTGGGCAAAAGCTGGAAAGAATATGGAAGATGCTCCAAAGATTTCAAATGGAGCTGACTTGTCTGCAATGTCTGGTTTAGTTGCTGCAAGGAGGAGTGTGCTCTCTGAGGAACGCAGTGAGAAGTCTGGTCCTTCTCAGCAGGAAGTTCCCAAACTTATTGCAAGATTTCCCGGATCTTTCAAGGAGACATCGAATTCCTCAATGAAGCAAGATCAAAAGAATCAAGTGGTCACAGGATCTTATCAAAATGAGGATGGAAGAACCAGCAATAACGATCCCGTTCTGGTAAGAACTCTGCTGACATGATAGTTTTTAATTGCCACTATCGCATCCTTTATCGTCATAAAATGCGGAACCTCTAATTTGTTAGCGCTGTTCATAAATAAAGTTCTTGATGTTGATGTATTCATGTGCTCAAGACTTACTTGCTTTCTCTATTTAGATTGGGTACGGGTCAAAGGGCAATAAAATCCACTATTCAGGACCGATAATAGTACCATCAGGCAAAATGGACCAGATGATGAAAGATCATGATCGCCAAGTTCAAGAAGCTGTAAGACGAGCACGCTTGGACAAGGCAAAATTACGAAAATCTCAGGCTGATGGAAACCAGTTATCAATTAATTCACTATTTGTTTCTGGCCGATGAGTTGTTATTAGGCAAACTATACTGCAAAAAGGAAGGGAAGAGGCCACTCTCTGTTGTACAATTGAGATATTCTGGCTAAGTGGGAGGAGCTGTATAGGGGTAGTTCCACGAATATGGCTGGGGGCCGTTGTTTGGCCGGCCAGATGTAGAAGAATTAAATAGGAAATGTTGTAGTTCCCTCACTCCTGCTTAAGCTGTCATAAGCATTTTATTGTAGCTCAACAAACTCTGCATGCGAATAGTATCGGCCATTTTTATAGAGCTTGATTGTCAGTTTTAAATTGAACTTTATGGCTTGTAGCCCAGAATTTTCCAAGATGCTCGGATGTGAATATTGCAGGAAGCATATGCATTGATACAGCAGACTTATTAGGGGCAAACATGCAGCTTCCACAAAGGTGAATTTGCTCGTTTGGCTGGTCCAAAATCTGAATCGAGTTCTGCTGGTAATACAAACTGAAATAGATAGTCCTTGCTGCAATGCCAAGTTGAATCTGCTACCTGAGACAAAAGGAAAGCCTTTTCTTGCCAAATTTGCAAGTGTTGTTCACTTCATCTACAATGGCTTCCATAATATCAGTCTGGTATTCCATAAAACTGCATCTTTAGACTGTTCCAGGCTTGAATCCCAAGTTCAGAATCAACCACCTGATCAGAGGGCAAAGCTCCCACTTAGTGCAACACAAGAATTACACATAGAATCCCGCCAAGATCAGACCCAAATTCCAACTTTAGCTGTTTTTAGCATGCCCTTTCCTATTTTGGGCAATAGTTTACAAGTCGCACCCACATCTTTGATAAAAGTACCAAAGTTTCCCATTTTTTATTTTTCTGGTCCTTGGAAGGTTGCAATCGTCTTACTAGGTCTGTGTATCTACCAATCCTTAACACAAAATCTCTTTAGCCTCCTCCTCTCCTGTAATTTAGGATTAATAGGTTATACAATAGTTGTCGTTTTCGAAAAAAAAAGGAACGTTGCAATCGTCATCTTGAAGATGACATTTGAGATTCTATGAAGTATACAATCTTATCCTATGTTAAACTTCCTGGCAAGTTGATATTTTCTATAATATTATGTAGATCAGTTTATTAAATCAATATTGAAGCACTTTTTATGAATATGGGAGATAGAAAATATGATTGAATTTTTTTTTTTTTTTAAAAAAAAAAGAGATTGAAAAACGTAATCTAATGAGTTTTTTTTTTTCCCATATAATTTGCTAACCCGGACACAAGTACTAATGCTAACAAACTCGGATCCTAAAACCAAATGGCTTTCATTATTCAAAGTTCAAACCTACTTGCCAATAGTTTATTTTAAACTCATTTATCTATACTTATTAGTACCATTTTCTTAGCCCCGGGCGTTTCACCAGCAAGGAAAGGTCCAAGAAGAGCTTCGTGTTTTTTTCCTTGCTTTTCCTTATCTGGTAAACTTCGAAAGCAGCATTTTGAAAACCCCAACCAAAAAAAAAACTAATTAATTACTCAGAAGACTACGTGCAGTTCCTGCGACCACGTCTTACTTAGTAGTATTAATCTCCATGTAATCACATTTCTCATCTACCAACAATAAATAATAATCAATCCCCATTCAAATATTAATCATATTAAAAAAGCTGCTCATTTCCGCCGCCCTTCACTCCGCCTCTCTCGGCCGCCGAACCACAATCCCACGCTACAAACAAACAAAGGAGAAACTTCACAAGCTCCACGATATTAGAGTAAATACAATATTGAACGACAAAAAATCGAAGCATTACACGGTCTGAACTCTGAACTTCCAACCTCGGTTACGAGCTCCAATGCTGTAGCGTTCGTGCTTTGAGCTCATAATTTCACCTGCGGTTAGTTTTCTTCAACCTAAAACCTAGATTTTTTTTCCTTTTTTTTTGAAAAAAAAAAACTTAAAGTTTCGATTTCTATGAACAGTTACGAAAAGGCGATTGTGCGCTTTTTTTGAGTTACCGAGAATTAACTCGGTTGTTTAGGTTTGGAAGTTTTTTAAGATTTCACAAAGGCAAAAGAAGCAAAAAAGGAACCTTCGTGACGACGGGCTTACAGGTGTAAAGGTTTGTTGCACTGCTCCTTTTTCTTTTAATAGTACGTTTTCCAATTCAATGTAATCATTTGCTCTCTAATTACTAGTAGATTATACCTGTGTTTGCATAATAACATATTGTTAGAATAGATGTGACGTTTCCGCTTAATTTCGTTCTCAGTTTGAACTTTAATGGTGATGAACAGGAGGGGATTAGCTTTAATGGGATTGTTAAATTACTTAATTCAGTTTGAGAAAAGATATGATTATGGTATACTCCTGCTATTAGTTTATAATAAAAAAATGGGTTCATCAGTCAAATGGTTTAACTTATTAGTACAGGAGGACTTAGTGAGAATCGGTCATTGGAAATTGGAGATACATCTGGGACTGTTCTCTGCTCACATCTTGAGTAGGAGTAATTCTCTTTTACTCCTACTTTAATAAGAATCCATTTCAGACGACGCTAGGTCCACATTCCACAAGAGTGTTCAGTGAATTTACACTATTACCCCCCTTTCCCATTTCAGGGAGTTTGAGGATGCGAATCAGCCACGTATACGTGATGAAACTGAATCAGGAGTCAGTGGCATTGCAGATAACAAGTGGTCCCTAGGATTTCCAAAACAAAGAATAAACCAACGGACAACCAAATCTAGTTATGCTTGCTTATTACTACTTATTAGTATTCAATATATATATATATATATATATATTGGGAGTACTGTACAATTTTAATGAAAATACGGACATTTCATGGCAATGCAATAGGTCAAGTACATCCTCAACCCGCAGGGCCTGAATTTTGTGTGAGGAAGGATTTTCTCTCTCTCTCTCTCTCTCTCTCTTTTTTTGCCGGGAGGGTGGTGTTAAATATTTCATATGTGGGTTTCCTTTTTTTTCCCACCTTCTTTTTTCTTTATTCTTTCCTTTTTGTTTTTGTTTGTTTGCTCTTGCAGTAGTGTTGGAGAGGAAAATACCTCTGTATTTTGTGAGGCTGTGGTGCTTCCTTTGGAAAAAGCACACCTGTTTTGTTTTTGTTAAAAGTTTCTAGTGTGTGGTTCGAGTTCTTTCGTTTGCTATTGCTTCATCTCAAACTCAACAAGCTCCGCGCAGCTTCTACCTTTCAGACTTTCCTTTTGGTGATAAACTGGTAGCTTGCTTTATCTCCATCTCTCTCTCTCTCTCTCTCTCTCTCTATGTATACGTCTGTGTATGTATGTACTTAAGTTGTTGTGTTGATAAACAAGATTTTGAATGCATAATCATACTGCATGGTCACTACTTCTGGGCCGTATGAAATTTTCTTTCTAGCCTTTTTTTCTTCTGAATAGCGTTTATGGGATTTTCTTCTACGGGTTTTGTTTGTTGATGGAGTTTCACTTTCTTTAATGTGGAAAGTTCAAAGTTTGGTGCTTTATGCTCATTTCTACATCTCTTAACGTTCGCAGGAAGGTTTTGGTGTGGTAAAGTGATCACTGAGGTTTAGGGCAAATAAAAGGTTTTGGTGGTTTCTGTGGTTAAGATGTGTTTTTGATTCGAAAATGGCTGTGGTGGAAGTCAAAGAATGTGTTGAAGGTCTAAGATTTCTTCCTTTTCTTTGGCTTGGGTTTGTGTTTCTTGGGCTTCACCCTAGTAGAGGTGGAGACTAATGGAAGGTTCATCTGAATCTGGCTGGCAGAGGTCAGATAGCTCTAGGGGTTTAAATTCTTCTTCGGTTTTGGAGGGGAATCTTCGACTTGTTCGTGCCAACACTATCAGGTCCTCAGGAGATACGTCGTCTGAGTTTGGGTTTAGACCAGGAAGAAAAGTGAGGGAGAGAATTGTGCTACCTCATATAACTAACCAGTTTAAAACCTATACTGGGGGCTTCGAGGAGGGAGTAGCTCTGGACCCAGTTGTTCGTGCCATAGAATGTAATGATATCAGTCTGAGACAGTGGTTGGACAACCCAGAAAGAACTGTTGATGCTCTTGAATGCTTACACATATTTACTCAAATTGTAGATATAGTTAACCTGGCTCATTCTCAGGGAATAATCCTCCATAATGTGCGGCCCTCATGCTTTGTCATGTCCTCACTTAACCGTGTGTCTTTCATTGAATCTGCTTCTTGCTCGGATTCGGGTTCAGATTCGTTTGAGGAAGGAACAAACAGCCAGACGGCTGAGTTTAAAGGTGCGTCTTCGCCTTTGCCTTCAGACTTGCCCCAACGAGGAAGTCAGCTAGCTACTGAAAGCTTGCAACTTGAGATGAATCCCCTAAATGCATCTCGAATAGTATCTGAAACAAGTTGCATTAGGTCAAGCGCCGGACAGGCTGAGGTTGCACCAAATGATGACCAGACGGAAGAAAGGAAGCATTCCTTCCCAATGAAACATATATTGTTGATGGAAACCAATTGGTACAGTAGTCCAGAAGAAGTTTCTGGTGGCCCCAGTTCCAGTGCTTCAGACATTTATCGACTGGGGGTTCTTCTCTTTGAGGTTAGTATCAGTTACCGAGATCCTGAAATGACAACTTACTGTAAATCATGGTCTCCTCAGTTCAGTGTTGTATCGAATAATAAATAAGCTTGTGTTTTACCTCTTTCCTCTCTGATAAATATTTTGCTGATGAACAGTTGTTCTGCACATTTAGCTCGGTGGAAGAGAAAGGCGCAACTATGTCTAGTCTGAGACATCGTGTTCTCCCTCCTCAGTTGCTTTTGAAGTGGCCTAAAGAAGCATCATTTTGCCTATGGTTGCTGCATCCTGAGCCAAGTAGTCGGCCAAAAATGGGGTGGGATTTACTGCACTTTTACCATTTCAACTTCACCTGTTCCAAAGATGTTTTTGTTCTCTGCTGGTTGAAGTAATCCGCCATAATAGCCAACTTCTAAAAAGGATATATATGGATACTCTTAGTATGTTGTGTTCTATAGTGCTAATGGACTCGTCATACAAAAATCTGCTTTTTCAGAAACCCTAGTACATGTCATATTGGGTTTCCTGGAAGAGTGTGAAGCCAATTATGGCTTCTGGACTTGAAACGTACCTTTAATCTCTCACTAAAATTTTTGTGATGTCTTGCAGTAGTTTGTTCTTTCCTTCTGTTGCATTTTGCTGCTTTGGATGTGTATTAGTCCTCAGACATTGCCAAAAGATTTAGAGAAAGGAGAGGGACAGGCCACTAGCATAAATTTATGGTCTGACTGATGCTTAAGCTTGTAATTCAGAAGTGCATGAGCACTACTGTTACCACTTAGTCTCAGGCTATTTCTACGCTAGTAACTAAGATTTTAAGGCTACCCTCAAGACTTGAGATGCTACCTCTCCTGGCTTTTATTGCAAAGTACATCCCTTGGTTGTCTTTGTGCCTTTGGATGGGTTCTCCCCAACATTTTATGCTTTCAATAATTGGTTATTTGTCTCGTTTCCATACTCAATCACATGATGCAGGGCGTTGTTGCAAAGCGAATTTCTAAATGAACCAAGAGACAACATTGAGGAGCGTGAGGCAGCAATAGAACTTCGAGAAAAAATAGATGAACAAGAGCTGTTGCTGGAATTTTTGTTACTATTAAAGCAAAGGAAACAGGATGCAGCAGATCACTTGCATGAAATGGTGTCCTTTTTGACTTCTGATATAGAAGAAGTCACAAAATTGCAAACTGCCCTTAGGATAAAAGGAGGCATAAGCATAGACCTGGCGAAGGATTCAGCTTCAGGGCCCCCTTCATCCAATACAGTAGATGAGGGTGATTCTGGTAGCTCAGGGTCGAGAAAACGATGCAGGCCTGGGCTTTATACCCATAATGCGGAGGAACTTGATGATCCTGTTCCAGAAAACCAAGCAACTATTCTTTCTAAAAGTTCCCGACTCATGAAAAACTTTAGAAAATTGGAGTCAGCTTACTTTTTAACTAGGCGGCGGGCTCTCAAACCATCTGGAAAAGTATATGCCAGAAGTTCTCCAATTAGTAGCGATGCAAGAGGATCAGTTGTAGTGACTGAAAGAAGTTCTCTCAGTAAGTTGTCATCAAAAGAACAATATAATGAGGATAGACAAAGTGGATGGATAAATTCATTTCTTGAGGGTCTGTGCAAGTATTTGTCATTTAGCAAGTTAAAGGTGAAGGCAGACTTGAAGCAGGGAGATCTTTTAAATTCTTCCAACCTTGTATGCTCCCTGAGTTTTGATCGTGATGGAGAGTTTTTTGCAACTGCTGGTGTGAATAAGAAGATCAAAGTCTTTGAATATAATTCGATTCTAAACAAAGACCGTGATATCCATTATCCTGTTGTTGAAATGGCTAGCAGATCAAAGCTAAGCAGTATATGTTGGAATGGGTATATTAAGAGCCAGATTGCTTCCAGTAACTTTGAAGGTGTGGTTCAGGTAAATCAAGAGACTTGAACTCCTGTCCACTCTTTTTTTTTTTTTAAGAATAAGAAAAAATTAAAAATTGGCTCGTCTCCTTGAGATATTTTCAGGTATGGGACGTTACAAGAAGTCAAATCTTTATGGAAATGAGCGAGCATGAGAGCCGTGTCTGGTCCGTTGACTACTCAGTAGCTGATCCAACATTGCTGGCTAGCGGGAGTGATGATGGTTCTGTTAAGCTCTGGAATATCAATCAGGCAATTCTATTTTTGCACTTGGTGGATGTCAGCTTTGAAACTAAACGTACTACAGTCATCTAATTGTTATTGCTGTATAGGTTGGGTTCTTGATGTGTAATAAGTTGTTTTTCTTACATGGGTTGCTACTGCAGGGAGTAAGCATCGGTACCATTAAGACAAAGGCAAATGTCTGTTGTGTTCAGTTTCCATTTGAATCCAGTCGTCGCCTTGCATTTGGATCAGCAGACCATAAGATATACTATTATGATCTACGCAATTCTAAGATGCCTCTCTGCACGTTGATTGGACACAACAAGACTGTGAGCTATGTTAAGTTCATAGATTCGACAACACTTGTGTCTGCATCTACAGATAACACATTGAAGCTCTGGGACTTGTCAATGTGCACAGCTCGGGTTCTTGATTGTCCCCTTCAGTCATTCACTGGGCACTTGAATGTGAAGGTAGAGCTTTTTGTTTTATTGCTTGATATTGTGTATCATTTTAGAAATTGTAGCTTGGTCTTTTAGTCAGGACGTTGAGTAAGTTGGGGACAGTTAAAGAGGTTAATTCTGATGATTGAATACCACTATGCTGTCTTTGTATTGAGTTTTTCCATTTTGTTTAGTAAAGTGGCCCTACAGAAATATCATGACTTAGTGTCTGCTATATCATTTCAATTCATTTGGTATTCTCATTGAAATTGATATATAACTAAAATTGTATGGTATAAAGTATGATAAGGTCAGGCAAATGTGTTAACAAATTTAGTTTTGCTATCATTGATAATTGATCTTTATTTAAAGCTAGTTTGGGAGTTCAGGATAGAAAAGAAAAGAAGAGAAAGGTTAAGTTATGAGAGAAAAGAAACGATAAGAAAAGAAGAGAGGAGATTTTAATGTTGTTTGGGAGTTTACAAAAGAAAGGAGATGATTTTGGACGCATTGGTCAATAAATATTCCATTCAATAGCTTCTCAAGGATAGAATGGGCAATTTAAAAATTTTTTTGTAGCCTTTCCGTAGCTTTCCTTTGCTTTCTGGCCGATTTGGGATGGAAAATTTTTTTTAACTGTAGCAGATCTTCTTCCTTCCAAATCAGCTGGGTTCTTTTCCTTTCTGTTTCGCTAAAACTCTCAAACGTGGGAAATAGCTACCTTTCTCTTCCCTTCGTTTCTTTTCCGCTCAAATCTCATCTCCCAAACTGGGCATTAGGGTTACAAACGGGACATTCTTTTCAGTTCTTTCAATTTTCATCTCATCTAAGCAGTGGAATTACTATAATGCATACAAGTTCTTTTTCATTATACCTTCCAAGGCCTGTTGAGATGATTAGTTCATTGTGAGAGGCAAAATACATATAGCTTTTGTATTCAGTATCTTCTTTTCCAACTATATTGAGAAAATAAAGTCTGGATGAGGTTTTGGGAGTGGTCTTTATCAGCAATTGATGTTATTTGGAATGAAATTATTAAAAAATAAGCAAAGAAAATAAGGTTGTTAGAAAAGAGAGGAAGAATGTGCATATGCATTGCTCCTAGCCTCCTAACACACACCCCCCCCCCTCTCCTTCTGTTCTCCCTCTAGTTTTTCATATTCATTGATTCATTTTGTTGCATATGCATCTTGATCATTAAGTTGAGGTAAAACCCAAATTCTGCTTATAGAAACATCTATGGTTTTCATCCTTAATGTGGATACATCTTTGTTGCAGAACTTTGTTGGCCTATCTGTATCTGATGGTTACATTGCAACGGGATCAGAGACAAATGAGGTATCCCATGCTTTGCACAGCAATTTACACGATCTAATTTTGATTTCTGCTGTAGTTATGTATGATTGTCCTTGGTTTTTCTTCCTTAAACTCTGCATTGCACTGAAAGTTTCTCTGCTTTGTATGCTACTAAATGCCTCAAGAATGTCTAGTCATAATTACCTTTTCTGGTCTTGGAAGGGTCGGTTCACATTTACTTTGTTCCTGAAAAGTCAGTTTGAGTTCACATCTGTTGCCGGCACTTCCCCCTTCACAGCTCTATGTGATGATTACGAAAGGTCGAATTACTGCGGTGGAGTTACCGTCGTTTGTTACATCCCATGTTTGTTCTGTCATATTCCTCCTGTCCCTCACAAAATCTTTTAAGCCAATTTACTCGTATGTTATATGGTACAGCAGTGAATGATCACCTGTTCAGTGATTGGTAAATGTAGTTTTGTCTTTGGTTTTCTGGTTGCAGGTTTTTGTATACCACAAAGCTCTTCCCATGCCTGCGTTGTCATATAAATTTAACATCACGGATCCGCTTTCGGGTGATGAAGTGGACGACAGTGCACAGTTTATCTCCTCTGTGTGTTGGCGTGGTCAGTCATCCTCCACCTTAGTTGCTGCTAACTCCACGGGAAATATCAAGTTGTTGGAGATGGTTTGAGCTAAGTCTTAAGAATTAATTCCAAAAAAAAAAAAAGAGAGAGAAAATGGAATACAGCATCAGCGGAAACACAGATTAAAAGAGTAGCTTATACCCAAGGAGCATTTTATCGAGGCCTGCTTCACTGAAGGTTGAAGTCACTAGGAACATCAACAGCAGCCTGCAAAACAAATTTTTGCCTTTTAGTAGAATAGCGGATGGTTAACCGGAGCACTGAGATTCGTCATTGTTCAAGTGTACTGTAGATAAGAAATAGAAAGAGGAGCCCGAAAGGAAGATAAAACGCTGATTTTTCTATGTATATTCTTGTAATTTTTAGAATTGCAATCATTGATATAGAATATACTATATATGTATTATGATATTGACTCAATGGATGGCAGTAGCGACTCAGAGCAATAATCCTGTGGTCAGAACAATTTCACTCTATAAACCTAAAATACCTTTACACAGGCAATGACCTACTATTATTATTTACCTCCATGGCTTTGGTACTCCAGCCCTCTCCCCGCTCCCATCTCCCTTCCAATCTGAAGTAAAGAGTCTCCCCATTTCTCTCCCAACTTCCTCCTCCTCCTCCTCCAAGATGTGAAGAAGAAAGGACTGTCGAATCTCGACATTCTATGTGAAATTTGTTCTGATCTTATAATTGCTATACCAAGAGGAACAATTTGATGCATTGGATGGTGATTTTGGTTTAAATTCTGAACTTCTTTTGTCTCAATCATTCAGGTGTGTATGTTTGGAATGGGAGGATTGGTGGCTTGATGTACGCCGTTATCTGGGTCAAATAAAGAGGGGAAGTGGTAAAAGGAGGTTCCTAAAGATGGAAATGGGTTTATAATTCCGAACCTCTTTTAGCAGCTCTTCGGCCATAGCCAAAGACAAACTAACTTTTGATTGGTCAAATTTGATCTGCCACAGTTGCGTGGCATTAGCGACCCAAAAGATGTTGGTTATTACAGTTAGTGAAGCCAGTGCTTTGACACAAGAAATTAAAATGTATCGAATGTACCAGAACTTGAAGAAGAACAGCCAAAGGAAAATAAAATTTGAATTGAACTGAATAATTGATTCACGATAGTGATGGCGACACTCTTGAGAGATAAGTATGCGAGGTTTTTTTTTTTTTTTTTTTTTTTTTTGGGGTGGGGGGGTCCTCACGCTAGTTAGAAAATTTTCTGGTGAGACAGAAAATTTGCGGTGTCCACGTCGTCAACTAAGAGATGGCAATTGGTAACTTACATCCATGGAATCCGGGTAAACCAGGACAAATTAAATGTTTGATCGGTCTCATCTATTACTATGTGATATACATATATCACATTTGTGTGTGTCATAAGTTTTTTGTTTTTATTATTTTTAAGATGTGGTTTATCACAGTGTGGTATACCCTATTCTAGAATTTGCCTTGTTACTGGTATATCACATGTGAGAAAAGCATCTTTCCATGAGAATGAATGTAGGGTTATATTACTGACTCGAACTTCTAGAAACGTGACATTCTTTCTGGTGGGTGACTTCTTTTCAGGTGATTGTAAGGGCAAAGAGGCCACCAGTATGCAGATGCGAGTACCGTGTCCGCTTATTATGTCCATCCAATCCCCACCGACAACTGGAAAGTATAAAAAGTTAATAGAAAATGAGTTTAAAAGTGTTTTTTTTTTTTTTAATATCATTCGGTACCATCTATTCTACTTCTACGCTGAGCTCATTAGAGAATCAACGAAAACTGAATCACCATCGAATCAGACGGATGCACTACACACTCGTATAGATTTAGAGAGGTCACATACATTAACAAGTGATAGAATGCAAATTTTGAACATTTGATCTCCCACGCCACCGAGACTTTAGTCTTTGGTGGTAACAAACAGCGTAACTAGTGTGAAGTTCGGCTCCTTCTTTTTCTCAACAATTTTTATTTTTAAATTTTTGAGCTTGATTTGGCTCGAACTCTAACTTATTGGACTCGAATTTGAATTTGAATTTGAATTTGAATTTTACATTAAGAATCTCTCGAGTTTAAACTTGATACCGTTAATTAATAAATTAATATGAGTTCTACTTAATTATGCCAAAATTGGTCTAGATTCATTCAGAACCCTAGTCATCAATACTATATAAAGATTGCGTCGGCTGAGTGGCCGAGCGACTTTTGTTGTTGATAAAGTTTTGCGTCGCTGATCTGTAGACTGGCCCTTTCTTCAACGCCCTTCTTGTTTTTTTAGTATCTTAATCAATTTACTCCGTTCGTCAACTGTTTGCCAACAAGAAATCGTCAAAAAATGACGCGGATGTAATTGTTTTCAACAAGTGACCACGAATACAGATCCAAATCCTCGCATAAACGGACTAGGAACATGTACGGTGATGCCAGAAGCAGGTATTATTACCATTGCAGTCGAGAAAGCTGCGTTTTTACGATCAAGAAAAATGATGTTAACTGTGCAGTGTCATTGATATAATACTCCAGCTTCCAACAAAGAATCGTTGGGGCTTATGGAAGTAAATTTAGCTTGCCCTTTTTAATCTGCAAGCAAGAATGATACACTATAATCTACTTACACTGATTCTCGCTAAATCTTGGGGACAAAACTATATTATCTACTAGACCGCGCAGGCGTTCAGCACCAGGGCCTGGTTTCAGCTTCGCAGGATTTCCAACCTTCGAGCAACGAGGTTTACCGCGGCACCAGCCACCGGGTGTGAAGCTACCATTTTTGCGACCGAGGAACTCGTTATCAAGTTTATCTAATACAGGATCATTTGCCCTGAACTTACGAGCAAATGGAGCACCGCTTGCAATCATTGGAGCTGTGTCATTCAGGTGGAGGGTTTTCGGATGCTGTTTTGGGGGATTATCCCAAGCTATGTAGTGCATGTCATGGTTGACAATAGTGGGTACAAATTCTGGGGCATTGCAAACAACTGTCTGAAAATAGCCCTCAGGAGAGGACACAAAATTTGTATAGTACATAAGTAGAGTTCTAGGAAGGTTATCCCAACCCCAGACGCAGTACTCCACAAAAGCACGCGACAGGATCATCCATGCAGAACCTGTAAAAGAGGGAATATGTGTAAAGCTAGGCCACAGCTCTTAGAAAATGATAAAAATAGGTAAAATCTCTAGAGAGAAACGTTTCAATCCTGAAACCTCAACCTCACCAACAGTTTCCGTTCCATGTTTCAGAAAAAAGATTATTACAACAAAAGTTCCGACAGAGCACAATTTGCAATAAGTTTTGTTTTGTGTATTTGCCTACATGTCCTTCAGAACTCTTTTACGAGTTACTGCAATCAGCAATTTCAATACACAAAACACTGTAGACAGATACTGCAAGGATAAAATTGAAAGAAGGTTGTAAAGAGAGAGATAACATTGATAGGAAATAAGAAAAGCAGGGTGGTCTGCAGAACAGTTGGAAAAGATATCAGCCTAATTTCCCAGTAAGAGAAAGACATATGCAATAAGCAACTGAACTACCCATCAGGGATACAAGCTAACTCAATATGCTGTATGGCTGAGAAAGGAACTATGCAGAGGAAAGAAGATATCAGAATATGGAGAAAGACAATTATCCAAGCGGAGGAAAAGCAATGATTGAATTGGACGGTCTATAGGAAAATACAATTTGGGCATGGTAAGAGGCTAGGTTCGGCTTTCAGGACCACTTCTTTGGCAGAGGGGCACTTATCTTGACATGGTACATCGGCACATAAAATTTGCCATATTGAAAAAAACTAACCAGTAAAGAGCTTAAATGAAGTGGGCAAAGTTCTCTTAGGTTGGACCCAGAATATATCAGACTTTGTGTCCTGGTAGAGCCCGGGATCCACGACCAACGGCATTGCCCTGTGATTCCTGAAACACAACCCAATGGAATGGTATTAGGTGCTGATATTCATTTCTTGATAGATGCATGAGCCGAACAAAAAACGCACCAAGAGAGCTTACTCTTTCCAGCCCAATCGGCTAGTGTGCTCGATGAAATTCAAATCCCGCCTTAAACCAGTAAAGGTATGCAGAAGATCTGCAAGGGCAAAATAGAGAAATCAAGGACTTGAATGAAATGAAGAACAATAAGAGCAATCTCCAGCACAAACACTTCAATACCAATTGGTGAATTTCCAATAAAACTAACCATCTTGAGTCACCAATGGGTAGTCTGAAGCACTTAGGTTAATAAACCAATCCCAATCCTTGTGTCTCTTGAGAAGAATGGCACAAGCGTGAAGCGTATTAGAGACCATGGTGGGCCCTCTATAAGTAACCATGTTAGCCTTTTTAATCATGAATACATTCCCAACCTTAGAAAATATGGGATTTTTCTCAACCCGGGAAGCAAGCTCCAGCCTCTCCTCTGCAGGGGATTCCAGGTCCAAATGTACAACATAATAATTCCGTGGATGATACAATGCATGGAGAGTTCTCCAAAGCTTTTCTAGATCACCTCTTGATCCTGATACCAGATACGCAAAACGCGGAACTGGTGGAGCAGCTGGAGGTGGTGGAGATTGGTTAACCTTTGCTTCAACAAATAATTGGCTCGTTTGATTAGCAGTTGCACGAGAGGGGAACATTGAGAAGATTGAGTTGATGCTTTGCAATGATGAAACCATCCCCATATTGAACGAGGTTGCAATAAGGAAAAGGCATACCAGTGAACTGATTGCAAGAGGAAAAACCCATCTCTTCTCCATGTTCAAGGACCCCATGGCTGAAGTCTATCATGAGTTCAGTTTGCCTCACTTTCTCATCAATTCAGCAACGAAATGTAATTTACTGTCACTGGTCCTTAATGGATTTTTATTGGACTCTACTTTCTGAACCAAATGGCCAAAGAAGGATCAATGCCGCTTTGGAGTGGGTACGGTAATTTGTAGCTTTCCACAATAGCTGATCAATCATGGTTCAAAATAAAACAAAAGCTTAGTCTATGCCTATTTAAATAATCAGCATGATTAAAAAAACTCGAGCCCTCCGTAAACAACTAAACAGAGAGATAATTTAGTCGGAGTATTCACCGTTAAGT